AATGGGCAGGACCCTACCCATGATCTTCACTACCCGTTTGGCTGCCGAGCTACTGGGACATCCATGCTGGTCCCACCTCTCCAGGCTCAAGTGGGTACCTATTCAGGACACTTGATCCGTCCAGCAGCTGGGACCCTCCACCCTTCAGTTTTCCAAGATGTGGCTTGTCTGCTCTTCTTCCTGGCACATTCGTCTTTGTCAGTACAGCTAGCTAATCTCTTCTTTTCCTAGCAACTTGCTTTTTCTGCTTCCTCAAGAAACAAAGGCCTGAAGTCTCCAGGATGGCAGTTAACTGAGTGCTTCTCTGTGGAGGTCCAAAGAGGCCAAAGGTCATGGAGTTTGGGACTAGTTTCTGGTTCGTTCAAGGTTATTGCGCTCTACCTCAAACCAAGGTCCCACCTAGTTGAAAAGCGGAGAGTTCGGCTTCTCGTATGCTATTGTCAACAGGTGTGGCTAGTTGCCAGACCTCGTGCTCCTGAATAGGGAAGTAGTTGGTTCCTGCCTAAAAGTCTGAGGATCCAACTAAGCTCCAGTTCCTTTTATGGAAATAACTTGGGATTCCACCCAGGGAGTGTTTGGTCTAGTGTGTGAGCGTGATGAATGTAGCCAGCTGTGACTTTCATTGGTATGGTAATGCAGTCTTCTGTCTAGCGCCTACCTCTTGCAGTCAGCGGTATATTAAGCAGTTGGAAATTAAACACAGGTGAATTTTCAGTACTCACTGAAAAACTCCCTCCCGATACTGTCCTACATGTTTCTGCGTTTTATTATTTTCATTCGCGTTTTCATATTCTTTACTACGTTTCTAAATTCAGACGCCTTCACTCTGGAGAAAGGTATTTTGATGGAGGCTGCTCCCCCCCCTTCTCCACCCACACCTCCTGCTGAGTGTGAGCTTACCAACCCCCAACTCCGCCTCCCCACACATACCCAAAGAATCTGGAATGTTCTGGTGAAGGTTCTACCCTAAAACCCCTCTTCCATCTCTCTCCAAACCCTGCTGCATCTCAGAAAAGTCTGCCAGATGATGACCCCTCCCCCAGAAATGCTCAAGACCATTCCCACGGGATATTTAAACTGTCCCTCAGAAAACAGACACATGTTTTCCAGTCTCCCTTTTGGGTCTCCTCTCAGGGGACTGGAAAATCATCCAGGAGCATTTTATCCATTAAACCTGGACTTTTTCTAATTTGGTCTGATTTGGATTGCTGGGTCGGCAGAGAGGATTATCGGAGTACAAAAACTTTTCAGTTGTGAGCTGCCATATGGGTACTGGGACTTGAACATGGGTCCTCTGGAAGAGTAGCCAGTGTTCCTAACAGCTGAGTCATCTCTCCAGCCCCCAATTTAAAATGTTTTATCCAATATTTATTGAGCATCTTTGGGTAATGAACTAGGTAGTTTGAGGGAGCAAAAGCAAAGTCGGTGAAGGCCTGCACTCAAAGCAGGGCCGAAGGACAATGCCAGGGCATTGGGAAAGGCTGGGCTGCTTGCTGAAAGGGGAGACTCTTCCCCCTACCTTATGTCTTCACATTTATGTCCACTCCTCTCAGGCACACCACCTGAGTGGGAATACACTTATCCGTCTGTCTTGGATGTTAGATTTTTCACGAGTCTGCTTGGGTTGATCTCTAAGACTGCTCAAATTCCACCTTGTCCAGCTGTGTTCTATAAAAGAGCAGACATTTTCACAGGCTGCCAGACTGTCCCCTGCTGAAAGTCTGATACCTGGTTTGTTAGCCCTATTGAAGGAGATTTGTCAACGTCTATGAAGTCATAGATAGAGACTGGCAACTCTCAGTGGAGGATCCAGTTGGGGCCTCCAAGTCTGTGCCCTCACACCTCTTCTGCAACAGCCCTGACGCCATGGATGTCTGCGGCTGGGAACTCAGCAAGGACAGCAGCTTTCAACCCTGTACAAAGGTGGTCTGACCGCTGGTGTGGCTGTTATGCCCAAATCCCCTCAAGGCCAACAAAGAAACCAAGTCCCTTGCGTAAAAGCAGAGTCTTTATTTTAATCAACTTTGCAAGCTTGGTCTCACCGCATGTCCAATGTATTGGACTAACCGGAGAGCCCTGACCTCAATTAGAATTAGTTTTTTTTTTATAGTAGTAAAGGTGGTGGGTGAGGGGGGTCTCTGAGGTTCAGGACTCCTGATTGGCTGACATTTGTCTAGGTTGTCCTGGTGACTGTGTGCTGGCAGGTGTTTCTATCTAAGGTGCTTGGAATGCCAGGCATTCCCTTTGAATGGTCTGCTCTTGGGTGGGGTTCGGGTCGTCTCAGCTTGTGGTTCTATCCTGCCACCAGGTATTACTTTAGGGTATGTAAGATTTTAGACAATTGTGAAGCCGTTTCTGACAATTCCAAACCCTCTCAGCCTCTGTGCCTCAGTGCTTCCCCTCCTCCCCTGGGAACCAAGGACCTAACAGCTACACATGCACGTACTCAGTTCCTGAACAATTACCCATACACGTATGTTTTGACTCAGTCCCCTGGGAAACGGGGTCAAAATGATCTCTTACCTCATCTGATCTGACAATAGTTCTCCAGTCAATTATTGGTATTAGCCCTTTTCGAATAAGCCAATCATAATGGTCAAGGAACAACCCCTCCTGTCTCTATGGGGCCTTCTCCTTTAAAAGTAGACTGTACCAGCTATTCGAGGTCTCACGGCTTCCTGAATGCTGAGGGACCCTGTCATGACAGAATTAATAAAATCCTCATGCTTTGGGGGCTGGAGTGATGGCTCAGAGGTTAAGAGCATTGCCTGCTCTTCCAAAGGTCCTGAGTTCAATTCCCAGCAACCACATGGTGGCTCACAACCATCTGTAATGAGGTCTGGTGCCCTCTTCTGGCCTGCAGGCATACACACAGACAGAATATTGTATACATAATAAATAATAAATATTTTTAAAAAAATCCTCATGCTTTTGCATCGGCTGTGGTGTATGAGGTGGTCTCTGGGGGCGACTCCTTCTCAGTTTGGACACTAGAGTCCAACAGGTAAACTACTGAGACTTGGGCCTCTTGTTAAATTTATGGAGGGCCAGAGTTCTACTCTGGCAGGTGATAATGGTTGGAAATAAAGAACTTCCTTTGGGTGACCTGTTCATACTTAGTTTATCATGGCTGGCTCCCCACAGTGGCCACCGGACATTGTCACCTGCAAAGTTTGTGCTTCAGGACTGGGCAGAGTTTCTTTGTAAAGCCCTGGTTGTCCTGGAATTTACTCTGTGGACCAGGCTGGCCTTGAACTCACAAAGATTGGCCTGCCTCTGCCCCCCACATACTGGGATTAACGGCTCACGCCACTACTGCCAGGCCATAGTAAGATTTTTTTTTAAATCCAAAACAACAAAAAAGATGGCTAAATGTGGTGGCTCACATCAGGAGGCAGAGGCAGGGTGGCGCACATCTTTAATCTCAGCATCAGGAGGCAGAGCTCTGTGAGTTCAAGGTGAGCCTAGTATGCAAAGTGAGACCCTGTCTATATAAAATTTAGTAGAGTATTCCTTCCGTGTTCAAGTAATGAAGGGAAAGGTATTTATTAGAATAAAAATACTTGCGGGTAGTGGTGGTATGTACCTTTAATCCCAGCACTTGGGGGGCAGAGGTGGGCACAAGTTCCAGGATAGCCAGGACAACACAGTGAAACCCTGTCTCAAACAAAACAAAACAAAACAACAACAACAACAACAAAGGACAGCGAGTTCCAGAAGAGTATTCAGAACTAAGAGAAACCCTGTCTTGAAACACCCCCATTTGCACTGGGGGCATGGTTTAGAACTCCAGCCCCATGTGAAGGGAGGGACTCTGAGATGAGGGATCTGGCGAGGCAGCTGGTGCCCTCTCATAGTGCATCTGTATTTTTTTTTTCGAGACAGGATTTCTTTGTAGTTTTGGAGCCTGTCTTGGAACTAGCTCTTGTAGACCAGGCTGGACTCGAACTCACAAAGATCCGCCTGCCTCTGCCTCCCGAGTGCTGGGATTAAAGGCATGCCCCCACCACCACCTGGCTTCTTAGTGGATCTCTAATGGAGGCCTGATGAAATTATACCCTGCTGCTCCTGAAAGGCCGTCTGAAATCTCACCCTCAGGGAGAGCAGGGAAAAAATGAACCAAGTGCTCGTGGCGTCCCCTAGGGTTTTGAGTGCCCAAGCTCTCAGAATTAGGAGACAGCACTGAGCTAAGAAAGACAACTATTAGTCAAGAAGGAAGCCAACTCAAGGAAGTCGCGAAGGCAGGCATACAGGTGAAATGTTTCACCAAACACCTAAGCATTTTCCCGAAGTTAAAATCAGAAAGGTTCCGAGTTCTCACAAGCATTGCTTTAAGTTAGGGGACAACTAATTCATTTGATGTGTGGGAAAACTTGCCTGCATGTATGTCTGTGTGTGTGTGCCTGATGTCTAAGGGGGCTAGAAAAGGGTGTATCTCTAGGACTGCAGTCACAGTTGGTTGTGAACCACCATGTGGGTGTGAGGGATTGAACCTGGGTCGCCTAAACCAATCCCTTGTGTCGCCCGGCCAGCTCTATAGTCCCATACTATGGAATTTTGAAGAAGCAATTATGCTTAATTAAGAACCCTAAAGCTAAGCTGGGCAGTGGTGGTGCATGCCTTTATCTCTCTTGGAAGGCTCCCAAGTGCTGGGATTGAAAGCGTGTGCTACTAAATCCGGGCACCAACAAACTTCTGAAGACCTGAAACCAGTCTAGGTGCAAGGCCTTTCTCTCAGGTGAAGATCACAGGAGACCACGTGAGAAGAGGCGGGGCTTCTGGGAGTGGAAGCAAGGCCTAAGAGCCAATTGGAAGGACAAAAAGGGGAGGAGCTAGCAAACAGCCCTTGAAATACAGCTCTCCAGAGAGGATTCTTTTGGGTTTACTGGGTTTGGAGTTGCCTGAGCTGTTTGTGACGATCCTGGTACACTATGGCCCCTTTTAAGACTTATAAGTCGCTGGTCCAGCTGCGGCACAAAGAAGGGACCTTCTTTGAAGTGGTCGGAGACTCCAGCACGCTGCCCGAGTGGTTTTATACCGAGCATCTGGATGATCCAAAAGCACTGTATGTGAATGCTTGGCTCGTGGAAGCGATCTTTGGTGAGTACCTGGGAAGGGAAGGCAAGAGGTAACCTCTTTTCCTGACTCCTTTGCCTGAGTATGTCCTATAGAGAAAGCCTGTCCAGTGGCTGTGGCCCCAGGCCTGTTGCCACCTCTATCCAGCTGCCTCAACTTCTGTTGAATGTGCCAAGAAGTGGAAGCCACTTCACCCCCATGTTCTTCCTGTTCCTCCTGTTCCCTGGTCAGGCAAGGATGGAGAGTACATCCCACATGTCGAGTGGACGTCACGTACCTTGCTTAAAGTCACCCAGTGGCTCCCGGAAGAGGATGCCGAGATTTTGATATTCGGACCTCCTTATTACCAAAAGGACGTTTCCCAGATGATCTCCAACTTGGTTAACTATTTCTGCTCGCGAAGGATGCAAGGTAAGGACTGGGAGTAGGTAGGGCTGTCCTGCCCAGCAAACCTTGGGTCCTTGGGAAAGTGGGTTTCAGAAATGTTGTAGGAGGCCAGATAGCGTTTGGGAACCCTTGCCCCCCCTCACGGTCCCAAGGGTAACTGTCCTTACCAGTGTCCTTCCGCTGCTTTTCTTCCAACACAGAGGAGGCCCATTCTCAAGAGGCTGAGACCCAGTGTTTTCCTGTCCACGAGGCTGCCCGCCGACTGTCTCCTGTGGGGAAAGTCCTAGAGGCTGCCACCCAACTGTCTCTTGTGGAGGTCCATGATGCTGCCTCCCAACAGGCTCCTGTGGAGGTTACTGATGCTGCCACCCAGCTGTCTCCCGTGGAGGTCCATGATGCTGCCACCCAGCTGGCTCCCGTGGAGGTGGCTGAGGCTGCCACCCAGCTGGCTCCCGTGGAGGCGGCTGAGGCTGCCACCCAGCTCTTTCCCGTGGAGGTGGTTGAGGCTGCCACCCAGGTTTTTCCCGTGGAGGCCGCTGAGGCTGCCACCCAGCTCTTTCCCGTGGAGGTGGCTGAGGCTGCCACCCAGCTGGCTCCCGTGGAGG